AAAATTTTTCTTGTGAAATTACTAATATACCCTTCAAATTTTCCATAATTATCATCTAATCCAATAAGGAATTATTCCTTATTTAAGTCATTGAACTTTTAACTTGTTTCAAAATCAAGCACATAGTTTTCAAAATTTGTAATTTAGTCACTGACCCTGATTTAGGATGTTACTGTCACCTTACAGCCATCATGAAGAGGATGGAAGAAGGAGAAATACGGGAATTGGCGCGGTCGCAAGTGTTAAATCTACCAAGCCAGGAAAAAGACTTGGCCCGATTGATGGGATCAATGCGGCCAAGTAAGGATCAAGGCGAGGCAAGGTTGTTGATGTTGAAGCAGCTAAACCCGGAAGAAAGCCCGAGATTGTAAGTATCCAAGCAATCAAGACAGGGGAAAGACTTGGTGTGGCTACATGTTTCAAAGTAGCCGAATCAATGAGAAATAGTTGTACGACTACAAGTTCTCAAGTAGTCAACCCAGGATTGAAACATGACGAGACTGCGGGTGTCAAAGCAGTCAAGTACAAAAAGGGACTCGGTATGATAGCAAGAGATAAATCCATCAAGCGAGGTGCAAAGTGAGCAAGTCTACTCACAATATTCCAGGATGGAGGCGTGGTCCAAGTTGAGGCGTCTCAGGCATAAATTGACACTTAAGGAGTATGTGAGTCGATTCAGAAAACTCATGCTCAATGTCCCAAGCTTGACTAAAGAAGATGGATTCTTCACCTTCATGTTCGGATTGAAGCCATGGGCGAAGAGAGTGTTGGAGCGAAGAAAAGTCAAGGAATTGTCTAAATCCTTGACAACCGCTGAGTCCATCAAAGAATTTGGAGTCAAGAAGAATAAGACTTCCAAAGTAAAGCCGAAAGCCGAGGGTAGCGGGAAGAGATTCCGTGATGAAGGCAAGTCAGAGGATGAGGAATGTTTTTCCTCGAGTGGTAGAGAAAATCCACTCAATGATGAACCAGATGGTGAGTCTGGGGAAGATGTGTGCAGTTTTGGCACAATTTCAAGTCTCAAAGATACTAAGCTGAGGGTAAGAGTCGAGCAAATGAGGGGACGCAAACTTAAGATGCCAGAAGTGTTGCAAAATTACCCGAGGGGAGTCGATTCATCCAAGGTGATGGATGAGCCCAAGATCAAGTTGTCCAGAGAAGAGGATGAACCCAGGATCGAAGAGGCGTTGAGAGTTGGCTCAATAAGGTTCATTTCTGCCAAGGCGAGTAGAAGTCAAGTGCAAGAAGAGTTGTCCGTGTCCAAGGAGTTTGTCGAGCATGTTCGTGTAGAGAACATGGCTTCAGAGACCATCTTAAGAGAATGGTTGAAGCAGGGGCTTGCAGAGGATGTTCAAGTGAGGAACAATCCTTCAAAGACTAGTGGACAAGAGTCGAAGGGAGCTAAGACGTTAAGGGACAAGGCAACCACGGAGAAACTGCCCAATAACAAATGGGTTTACATGACGGTGACTACGGACAAACTGAAGTTGTGTTCAGCTTCAGTTGGTATGCTAGAGTAACGAGACCAGAAATGCTGATTCATCGATCAAGGTGTGAAGACAGATTAAAATCAGTCTTCAAGTGGGATATTATTAGAAAAGTCAAAAAAGGGGGCTAAGGGGAAGTCAAAAAGAGGGGCTAAGGGGGCATCGAATTCGGTGGAATTCAGTGCATTTATTTTGTTATTGAAAATGGTATTGATATAATTGTATTTTAGTCCCTGTACACTTTAGGATATTTACAAGATTAGTCCTTAAGCTTCAATTATAAATACCCTAACCCATTTAGCTTCAAAATCATCCCAAATTATTTCTTTCTCCCAATACTAGAGAGATTTCTTGTGAGTTATGAGTGTTTTGTAAACACCTGTAAATTTTCTCTCTTTAGTAAAATATCTGCAGCAGTCCGGAGACGTAGGCATAATTGGCTGAACTTCTTTATCAATTTCGGGTATTATTTTTCCGCTTTAATTTTGCATTCTCACTAATATGGTTATAGGGAAATTACTCGTTTTCGTTTATTTCCCAACAGTTAGGGAATAGACTTATAGTAAGGATACCAAAAAAAATGCTCAAAGCTATGTCTTTGCATGCTGGTATGATAAAAATTAGTGTATTCGTTCCTAGTACAATAAAAATGACTACAAATTATGGATATCTAGTATCTATATAATCACAAAAAAAAACAATGAAGTCCTAAAAGTTCATTGAGATTATTGGAAAAGAGAAAAGAAAAGTGATTTATTAATTAAGAACTAGATACAAAATTACATATACAACTAGCAAAAGAGAAGATAAACCAGCAACAAGATCATTACAAAGCAAGTTAATTCTACCAAAAGGATCTGAGCTTTCCGGGTTTGAAAAATGGCTCCCATATATAAAAAATTCTAGTAGAAACACCATGTTTCATGGATTTGTAATTGAGTTTAGAGAGAAGGCCACCATTTATATAATTAGTCTTCCTCAAAACACCAATACCATTAAATTTCCTCAAATCTTTTCTTTTAGAGAAGAGATGAAATCTTTGATTCTTCCCCATTTAGCCTCAACAGTCTTTTCTTCCTTCTCGACAACTTTGGCTTTGGCCTCATAATCTCCCTATTTCTTTTCCAATGCTTCTAACTCCACTTTCATTTTCTTCAAACTTCTGAATATCCCTTTTCGTTCAACAAACATACTCTCCATTTCCCTTTCCGCTTCTTCAACTTGCTCCTGTAAGGGAGTAAGTTTTTGCTCTACCTGTTTCACCTATGATTTTATGAGTAATCCTCGGCTTCATAGATTCCTTCTCACTAAGGTGGTTTTTATCCTCTTCTGCTTTCGAAGCTCGGTCAATTACTTCTTTCAAGCTTTCCTCCATGGATAAAAACTCATTTTTTTGCTCAACTATAACGATGGCAGAGGAACTATTAAAAACTAGCAAGGATCTTGAATGCGCTCTTAAGTGGAGAAAATTTCCCTGAATTGTAAAACTCATCAGGGGTCGTATTCAAGGTTTCCTCTAATTTAACTAGTGTTTGCTTTGCTTCTTCTTGACAAACAATGATTTTAGAGCTCGAAAACTTAGACTCTAATGTAGAAAAGAATGTGTTCATATATTCCTCGATAGGGTCTTCAGGGTCAATGGCCTCAATATCTTGCTGATAGCTTGAACATGATTTCTTAGGCGGTAATTCCAAATCTAAACCAGTTTGATCCCTCAATTCCATTACTGATTGCTTCATCAATGATTTCTTGAACATGATTCTGCAGATATTCAAAATCGAAGCTAGAAGTGTGGCATTTGGTAAGCTTAGCACATCTGGATTTTTTTAATGGCTGGTTTGTTTCTCCTGTTGAGCTCAATGTCTTATTCGACAATATCCTTCATTAGACTCATTACTTGCTCAACAAGTAATCCAATGGCCTCATGATCTTCCTCCGTCGTCTTCTTTCTTCTCTTAAATTTATCAGCATCTTTCACGGTATTAAATTTACAACATATTTCTTCAATTTCCTCCTTGTTTTGATCATCAGAGTTCCACATCTCCTATCGATCACTTTGCTTTTAAAACTTTCTCCTGTTGGTTTTCTTATAATGATCGTCTCTCTCGTCTTTCACAATCTTTCATCACTCGGGCAATCCATCCTGCAAGTAATGACACATTCTCATAACAAAAATTATAGCTATTGATTTCAAGTTTAATTTAATCAATTGAATGTCAATCAATCAATCAGGGATCAAATTGCAACCATTTAAAACTTGATATACTTGTTTATTTTCTACAATAAAAGGAATCATCCATTAGAAAAACTCATTTATCAATCATCTACTTGTTTTCGATTCACTTTAGATTTATAAGCATCAAACAAGCATACAAGGACCGAATTGTGATCATTTGAAAATGTCAGGGAAAATTTTTAAAAGAAAAATCCCTAATGTCTTAGTCAAATAGAAATCAAATATGTATCAAGTAAAAATTGAGTAAAATATTGCGTATAGACAATTCAAGGTTCTTACTCAATAAGAACTATTTTATAAAATCATGAAAGATGAGAGACTAATGTGTAAATATTAGTGAAAGAAATAAAGAGATTAGGAGTAGTGAAACAGTCATGGAGAATGATGGGAAGACGTGCAACAAGACATGCAGTTTTTACACGTTAATCCACAAGAATTTTTTATTAGTATGGACAGATTATAAAATATTATCTCGTGATTTTTCTTAGTTATTGATAACGTATATATATACTATTGATATCATAGTGTAAACATTTCTCTAAGGCCTGAGAAGACTCCCTAATCGTAGGCTTAAGATCTATCATTCATGTAGGGTTAAGATCTATCATTCATGCATGAGTGGGACTAAATTGGGAAATCTAGAAATGTGAGGGTTAAAATTGGAATTTTTGGGAAGTTGAGAATGCTTTTTAAAAAATGTCACATGATTAAAGTAACAAAAATTATAACAAATTTAGTTTCTTATTTCTTAATAAAATATATATTATGTGAGAGAATAAATTTCAAATTTATAAACTAATTTTGATTAAATTTGTAATATGATACGTATATAAATTTAGATTTGGTTCAATAACGGACGATGTTGTTGATCAAAATTGGTGATACGGGATTTTGGTCAAATTTTGTGGTTGAGAGAGTTTTCAAGAATTTTTTAAAAGATTGAAAATAAATAAAACAAAAAATGATATTTAGTTTAAAATGTGCAGATCAAATTAAAAAATAATTATTTTTAACATGTCAAACTATTAAAATAATAAGAGTTAACAAGATCGTGACTAAATTGTAAGAAATATGTAAAATATTGACCAAAACGTAATTTTAAAAGTTTAATAATTAAACTAAAACAAAAATGTCTCAATTTACCTTTCCTAGATTCTATATTTTAACTGCTTAACAAATTAAAAACACATTGTATATAGTTATCAAACAAAAACATGTTATCTTTTATTGATTTTTAATTTAATCAAACAAAAGAAGTGCATTAAGGAAAGAAACAACAAAAACCAAAGAAACTTTGAATCCTTGGCATCCATCCACCCACAACAGATTTCCAACAACAAACTCCAAATAACCCGAAACAGAAACAACTAACCCGAGTAGTTACAAGAAACAGAGGTCGTCGATGAATACGGAGAATCCGAATCTGAAGACGGAGACGACAACAGCTCCTTCCCACTATCATCTTCCATGTTCACCGCAACACCAGCTTCGATTGCATCATCCGGTAGACATTTATGATTAGCCTCTTCTTCGTTAGGGGACCCTACACCAAATATCAAGTCCAAGTTATCCTGAAACCCCGTATCATGATCGAACAAGTCCGGCAATTCATCGTTTCCATCGAGGGGGGTGTTTGGGACCAAAAACGATGTCAACTCTGAATCCATGCAGAAACTCCATGCTAGCTCATTGCTATCAGTCGGCTCGATGCCGGCCATCGTCGTAGTCGGACTTTCAATGCATGGAGGAAGCTGCATTTGCATGTACTGAAAACGTTGAGATGTTCCGGCTTCTTCTTGCTTCTGTACTTGTTGTTGTTCTTCTTGCTGCCATGACGGCTGAAGTTGTTCGTTTTCTACAGATTCTGCTTGCTGAGCTTCACCGGAGTCTGGAATTCGATCTTGCGTTTTGTCGAAAAACAAAATACCTTTCTGCTTCAAACGGTCGATGTAATGGCTAACATCGAAATTGGTCACGGCATTGGCCCCCCTGTGTTCCAATGCTGCCATATCATATGCAGCTGCGGCTTCCTCTTGTGTGTCTTAAAAAAAATTGAAAATAAACATAAATAAATGATTATTTAATGAATAAAATCAGAGCATGCACAGATAAATAAATTATTTATGATAAACTATATCAGACCATTCAGTAAGAAATTAAATAAAGTGGGTCTAACCTTTTAAATTTAGCAGGTAAAAAGGAAAGATTATGGATTCACGTGCCGACATTAAATCTTAATAAGTTACTCTTATATTTGTATCCGATACTCAACTGGGAGTCTGAATAAATATTCGATGTTTCATTCAAATCTACACTTATTAGGGTAACATGTTGGCATAATTGAAGGTGATTGGGTTTGCTGCAAGGACACAACAACAAAAAAGTAGCACTATAAGGAGCATTTTCTTCCTTGATATGGTTGCTTGGTAGTCTAAATGTCTAATACAAGAAAGAAGATTGTTTAGGCCACCATTTGAGAGCTTGATGAAAGGGCACTCAACGACGGAAGGCATCGATCGGTCGAGTCCCACTCGGAAGGGAGGAACCTGATGATATTTTGGACCCTAACAATGTAAATATCTAATATTTGATCCTAATTCCATCCTTGTAGATAACGGGTGAGACAGGTCGGAGTGCCTTGTTCGAACCCTAAACCCCAATTGTTCAAACAAAGAATGGGTTGTTAATAGGAAGGGTACCCCACTACCCATGTGTTTTCTTGTCTCTCCCTTGATCCTAGCTTGTAAGTAGTAGAAAAATAAATGAATTGGGATAAAAAAAGTCACGTGACTTTGTTCCAACCAATCTAATTTAGGCAATCTAAATCCATCAAACTAAAAGACCAGATTCCATGATTTTGACTAAACAAAAGGAAAGAATCTAGGCAGATTTGACGCTTAACGTGTCCGATTTCCCCTTAATTAGTCTAATCCCTTTAGAGTCAAGACAGGACAAGTTAGATTTCCTTAATAAAATTTTGGGATCAAATAATACTTTTACTAATCAAATCGAAAATAATAATGATCTTTTAATAATCTAAAATAATTATAAGGTAATATGTATTCATAATTTTTAAATTAATTCACAATATACATATATCTTACTGATACATCTATTTAAATTCACGATCTTTAAATAAAACAACATTCTCTTCAACTAACGAGACCATTTGATGGGTTAAAAAACAATAACGATAAGTGTAATAAAAAGTGACAAATTGATTTTTAATTCGGATTTAATATAATTGATTTATGTAATGAATGAATATTTAAAATTTAAATATTATTTAAAATCATAACAAAATCTTGACAATTATTCTAATCAACAATTGACCAGCTAAGTAAAACCTAAAGTGGGGACAAGTTGCATTTAGGTGACCTAAAGCAAAATCTAATCTTCTCACAGGGCACGTGACCACTGCAGCCTCTTACTCGGCAAATATTATCTATATATACTTAAAAAGGCAACAGAATCACTTAATGGGAGAGTAATGGTCACGTGCCATCCTGCCAGTCACTTTCATGCAAACTAAAAAAAAAAAAAAGTTGTGAATCAAGACAGATATATACAGCTTAATTACATAAATGCCATTGATAATTAATTCTTTTTAATGGTGTAGGAACAAATCAAAGCAAGTTGACACTCATGGCAGTCGTGTGGTGTGACAGCATTTGAGTGGTTCACGTATATTTATTTATTTTAATAATTAAAAGAAATATAAAAATGTAAACGTAAAATAAAAAGTAATAATATCATTTAACTATTAAGAAAATATTGTTATCTACATTTAATTTTCTTAACCTTTAATTATTTTCTGTCACACAATTATTTATTTTCTAATATTTTATTAATTTTCCCAAAGAAGAAAAGTTGTTTCGGAAGACAAATTTTTTTGTTATTTTTTTAGCAATGCAAAGTAGGTGCAGATATATTGCAAAAGAAAAAATTTAGAAGTACAGATATGTCAAACATCTGAACTCTCCATATGATATTTAATAAAAATAAGAAATATATTTTATATAATTAGTATATAAATTATTTAAATCATGATATTAAATTTCATTTTTATTTTATATAAATTAAATTAAATTAATATATAATATTTTTTATTTTAGTAAAAATATAAAAATTGTAAATTATGTTAAATCAAATATGATTGAAATCGATTTTTTAATTTAACTTTTAAGTAAAAGAATTTTAAACTCAAATCGAACCAGGTTAAATTTTGTTATTATAATATTAAATTGAATTCAAATAGATCAAAAACCTTTCTTAATCACCCAAATGTCTTCTGGTCTCAAACCCATAAATTTAAATATAGGATAAAGTACACAAATAGTCTATAATTATAGAGTATTATTTTGTTGAGTCTCCGATTATTAAAATTTATAAAATAATTTTCTAACTATAGAGCATTGCATTCTTAACTCATTCGACTATTAAAAGTTATAAAATGGTCATCCGACTACTTATAAGTTTTAGACTTATTCTTTTTTGTTAAAAATTGATGATTGTTTGAGCTGAACGTTAACATACTGGTTGAGATATGATAATCGTTTGAGATTATGAGATCAAATTTTATCATATCTCGATCTTCATATTAACATCTAGCTCAGACTGTCGAATAACTCAAACTTTTTAATAATTAGTAGATTGATTTTCAAGTTTAATTCTAGTATCTTGATATATATATAATATATATATATATATATATATATATATATATATATATATATATATATATATATATATTGATTTCTAGTATTGGAATAGAGGGTTGCAAAGAGAGCTTACTATAAGTGCCCAGATAGAGATATTTGTTCCCCAAAACTCGACCGATCCGAGCTTCCCATCTCCCGTTATGATGATGCCTGCCGAAAACAAAATACATATTTCAATTTATTTAAAATTTATTACTCCATTCAATTTATATATCGGTTCAGTTTAATTTTATATAACATCGATGTAACATACTATATTGTTAGTACTACCTGGCTACCCCACGGTACTTGGAGACTCCTCTAGAGAATCCACTGCTACGACGTCGTAGAGATGCCAAGTACTCTTCCTTCGTCACTTTCTTCATTTCTTCCATCTCTTTTTCGTATCTCTCTCTCTGCAATAATCACATGATAATAGTTTTTTACTCATAAAAACCACCATTTTTATTAATTGTTTAACAGTAATGATAATTTATTAATAATATTATTTAAATACCGGGAAATTTAAGGTCGTTTCTGGCCCCCAATACTTAAGGACAGCTAGATCATACGTTCGAGCCGCTGCCTCCTCACTATCGTAAGCCCCTACATTTGGTAATGTGAATTGGAATATATCTAAATATTATTAATTTTTATGTTAAATTAGTAAAAATAATTAAAAAATTATTTAAAAATATATTTACTTAAATTAAACACTTAAATAGATCGAAGGACTTTACCTAAATAAACTATGAAGACGGCATCAGGAAGCGCAAATTACGTTGACAGATTGACCATATACACAATAATTTACATTAAAAAAACAAACAGTCAGTAAAAATAATACTAATAAAAAACAAAATTACATAAATCTCCTTGAATTTATTTTTCTTATTAAATTAGTCCATTAAAAAAAATAAATCAAATTTACCTTGTCTTCCTTTCTTGCTCTGAATATTGTTCCAAGAACTCTTGTCCCAAAGGTGAGCCTCAAATCTCCCAGTCCATCTATGCCTGTTTAATTTTTCCAGTATCAAATCAATATTTCACTATTAATTTTCACATATATTCAAAAAAAAAAAAAAGACCTGGTGACTCCTCTGTAAATGGAGCTTCTTCTGACATTATTGTTATTAGCATTGCCGTTCTGATCGGGGGTTTTTCTAGCCCTTTTGGCCTTGGGTTTCTCCGGCAAGCTACAGGAAGTCTCCGATGATGATGAAGAAGATGATGATGATAATGGCGATGAAGATATTAAGCAAGAATTAGATGAAGAACAGCTTGGGGATGTCTTCATTTTAGCAATGTGAAGCATTTTGGTAACATAAATACACTTATACATATATATTTATATTGTAAATGGTGAAGGTGAAAATGATGGGTTTTGGGTGGTGGCTAAGAGTAGTTTACCAAAAACAAAGAGAAGGTGGAGGAAGAAAGGAAAAAAAAGGGAGAGGTTTAGTAGAAGAAGAAGAAAACCCATTGATGGTGGGGTTAAATGGTAAGGTGTGGGGTTGAGTTAAAATTTAACTGTTTGAGTTAATTGAGAAAACAAAATGGACCTAAGCCCCTAACACTTGGCTTGCTTGTGCAGCCACGCTCCCAATGGGAGTTGTTTGCTTAGGCTGTCAATTTTTATGGTGTTTTCTAAGATTCTTCTCTTTTTATATTATTATTTTAAGCGTTGAGGTTAAGATTTTCAGTAAATTTTTAATGTTTAAAGTTCTAATGTAACAAATCTATCAAGTTGTCTCAATGGTTGGAGAGAATGTTATTAGTTTTAGAGGTCTTGATTTTAAGTAATTACGTGTGATTATACGGGTTACCAATGACTTAGAAATATTCTAAATAAATAATGTCTTATAATTACATTCTAGACTATTACAAAAATTTTGAATGTAATATTTTTTAAATTTTATTTAAATTTAGATTGAATTTGGTTCCTAGTGCGATAGATATTTAATTCAAGTTCGATGAAGTTTAATTTGACTCTAATCATATTAATCTCCATCTTTTAAGGTTTTTTTAAGGATAAAGTCGAGTTGAATTTAGGTTTGAGTTAAAAAGAATCCTACTCGAGAATAATAATATAAATTATTAGGGATAATTGCTATATTATCCTTCTTTTTATATTTGTTTGATTATTCTTATTTTACCTAATAAAAATAAGAATATATTTATATATTTATGTCTACGGGTGGTAATCGTGTGGGGAAAAATTGAAAATCGTGGGTATTCGATCTGACGGGATGGGGAATAATTGAACCGTACTCGCATGAATAATCGTGGGGATCCTTGAAAAATAACTGTAGGGATCCTCAATATTTTACAAAAAAAACCATGGAATCCCCGAAAAATATCTGTGAGATTACGTGTTGCCACTGTTACATCTCATTTAATACACATTGATTTGTTGATAATAAAAATGGTTAAGACTGTACATATACATTGGGTTTTAGATTAATATTGATGTTTGGAATTTTCATATTATAGACAAAGACCAATTTGAGACAATATGATATATCTTACAAGTTTTAGGTGTTGCATTGATTTAAAAAATGTTTGTTTACTTTTTGGGATGATGATTAACCGAAACCCGCAGGGATCTGGGTATGGCGGCAAAAAAAAAAATCTCCGAAACATATAATAGGGGATTCCCCAAAATCGTACCCGCAAGTGTTGGGGAAAGAATGTTTAATGCAAAATTGTCCCCGCCTCGTGCCGTTGCCACCCTTATTTATGTCGGATCAGATCAGATCAATACGGTGTGGTGCAGAGTTTTACTTCAAAGTTGAGTCAAATTTTGAGTCGAGTGAAACTTCTCTAAACCTAAAACGAATCGAATCGAGTGACAAATATAAAAATATTATACTTAAGTTAATTTCAAATGGACTAAAAGCTTAATTCAAACCATAATCATCCCTAATTGTAAGTTAGAATAATTTGTGTTTACAAAATCCAACATCATTTTCAAGTTGGTAACCTTGAGTTTGAGTTCTCTAATTTAAAGTTTGAGTTTTTCAAGTGGAATCAATGAAGATTCAAATATTTGTTTTAAATAAATTATTAGTTTGAAATAAATATAAATTATTATCTGTTTAAAAAATTATATATTATTTAATAATAAATTTTCATACATCTTTATAGACGTGACACTTGAATCTAAAATTCAAAAAATAATAACGATTCTTAACCACTATTCTAAGATTGCTACATCATTTTAAAATTACTTATTTTTATTTCGGGTGATTTTTTAATGAAAATTTTAAATTTTAAAATAATTTAAATATTAGTTTTAACATATTTTTTCTATATAACTTGCGTGTGAAGGATTTGTTCGCTAACAAATCTTCATCGAATATTTCATATATAAATTTATAACATATTTATTTAATTATTATAGAAAATTATAAATCCTTTTTAGATATTTAAGATAATTGTGTTAGAAGAAAAAGTAAAAAAAGAGGGTTGGATTTTTTTTAGAAATTAAGGGCAATCAGCTTGGGTTTTTAACAATGAGGGGCACCGAACGATGTCCCAATTCTTTATTAAAAATAAAAATGGGTTAATCACATTTTAGTCATTGCACTTTAGGGTATTTTCAAATATTAGTCCCTAAGCTTTAACTATAAATACCCTAGCTCATTTAGTTTCAAAATTATCCCAAAAATCATTTCTTTCTCCCAATACTAGAGAGATTTCTTGTGAGTAGTGAGTGTTTTGTAAAAACCTATAAATATTCTCTCTTAGTAAAAGATCTGCAGCAGTCCGAAGACGTAGGCACAGTTGGTTGAACTCCGTTATCAATTTCGGGTATTATTTTTCCGTTTTTATTTCCATTCTCACTAATCTGGTTATAGGGAAATTACTCGTACTCGGTTTATTTTCTAACAACTGGTATCAGAGCTTTTGGTCGAAAATTTTGTCAATTTTTTGCGAGGTTACTATTCATTACTATTCACGTGAATAGTGAATAGTAAAATTTTTGTCGGCGATACGAATTTGTCGACCGAGGTGTTCTAATACACGACGGTTTGCGGAAATTGTCAGAAACGATCCAAAGAAGCCAGATTCGAGTGGGAGCGATTGCTGCAGACGAAGGGAAGATGAAATTGAGAAGTTCGATGGTGCAGACTTTGGCTTTTGGAAGATGCAGATTGAGGATTTTCTGTACCAGAAAAATCTATATCAACCTCTCTCAGGAAAGCAACCAGAAGGCATGAAGAATGAAGATTGTGCTCTTCTGGACATACAAGCCCTCGGAGTAATCCGACTGACATTATCCTGCAATGTTGCTTTCAACATAACAAAGGAAAAGACCACGGCGGGTCTTATGGCGGCTCTCTTCAGTATGTATGAGAAACCATCGGCCTCAAACAAAGTTCATTTGATGAGGCGATTATTCAATTTGCGGATGGCGGAAGGGGCATCAGTGGCTCAACACCTAAATGAACTCAACACAATTACAACCCAATTGAGTTCCGTGGAAATTGAATTCGATGATGAAGTTTGAGCTTTAATTCTCTTATCATCTCTACCAAACAGTTGGAATGCTACTGTTACAGCAGTTAGCAGCTCGTCGGAAAATAGTAAATTGAAATTCGACGATGTTCAGGATCTAGTACTGAGCGAAGAAATTCGACGGAGAGAATTGGGTGAAGCATCGACCTCCTCAGCCTTGCACACGGAGTCTAGAGGGAGGACTTCAGAAAGAAATTCAAATCGTGGCAGATCCAAATCCAGAAGGGGAAAATCAAGAACGAGAAAGAAAGTTTTTACCTGTTATAACTGCAGCAAGGAGGGTCACTTTAAAAGAGATTGCCGAGCACCGAAGAAAAATACCAGCGCATAGGATACTACCAATATGACAGAGGAGACATGTGATGTCATGATTCTAAGCGTTAACAATCTGATTGAATCATGGATCTTGGATTCAGGGGCATCTTTCCACTCCACCCCATACCGAGAAATCATGGAGAACTATGTCAGTGGTGATTTTGGGAAGGTTCATCTAGCCAATGATAAAACCTTGAAGATCGCCAGAAAATGAGACATCCGATTAAAGTTGCCAAACCAGACCACCTGGAAGCTAAAAGGAGTGAGACATATTCCTGGCCTCAAAAGGAATTTGATTTCTGTTGGACAGCTTGATGGAGAAGGATATAGTACAACCTTTTCAGGCTGTGAATGGAAGATTACCAATGGAGCACTCGTCATTGCTTGTGGTAAGAACACTGATACTCTTTATGTAACCTCAAACTTAAAGAATATCATTGCTGCAGCAGATGCTGATGAAAAATCAAACCTATTGCACCAAAGGATTGGTCATATGAGCAAGAAAGGGATGAAGACACTTTTGTCAAAAGGGAAACTGTCGGATCTAAAGAATGTAGATGTCGGACTATGTGAGGATTGCATCTTTGGCAAAAAAAAGAAAGTCAGTTTTGCAAAGATTGACAAGACACCCAATGCAGAAAAGTTAGAGTTGGTTCATACTGATGTATTGGGACCATCTCCAGTTCCATCTCTTGCAGGCTCACTATATTATGTCACCTTCATCGATGATTCTACAAAGAAAGTGTGGGTTTATTTTCTGAAGAAGAAATCAGAAGTCTTTGATACCTTCAGAAAATGGAAGGCCATGGTGGAAAATGAGACTGGTTTGAAAGTCAAACGGTTGAGGTCTGACATGGAGGATAGTACAGAAATAGAAGATTCAGAGATTTTTGCGCAAACAATGGGATCAAGATGGAGACAACGGTTCCCATGACACCGCATCACAATGGCATAGTAGAGCGCATGAACATAACTCTGAATGAATGTGCCAGAAGTATGAGGATACATGTCGGCTTGCCCAAAATGCTATGGGCTGAAACTATCAACACTGCAGCTTACCTGATCAACCGTGGGCCCTCAGTTCCCTTGGATAGTGGAATACCAGAGGAATTTTGGAGCAAGAAAGAAATAAACCTTTCACTGCAGCTAATCTGGTTATAGGGAAATTACTCTTACTCGGTTTATTTCCTAACAAATTGGTGATTAAATTTTTTTCAACTTTTAATTTGACTTTATTTAAAAATATATATTTAATAAAGTTCACTATTTTACTTCACAAAAATAAATAATTAAGGGTAAATTATGTATTCAATACTTAAATTATCAGTTATGGCCTGTTTTAATACCTAAACTTTTAATTTTTCAAAATCATACATGAAATTTAGTTTTTGTTTTATTTTAGTAACCCGCTGTTAAAAATTTTAGTTTTTAATTCATTTTAGTACATGTTTAAAATTTAACGTTAAGTTTTGAAAAAATTGAAAGAAAACATAACAAAACTGATAGTCTAAGTACTAAATACATTGGCGATTATTAAAATGGAATGAAAACCAAACGTTACTACGTTAGGTATGATTTTATAAAAATTGAAAG